AAGAATTAGGGAGCCCGTCGGGTCCTGGGGCCTTGCTGGAAGGTAGTGCATCAATTGTGGATATTATTTCCTCCATTGTGATGGGGTTTTGGAGTGTTTGTTGTTGGTCTGGGGAGAGGGTTGGTAGGTGCACCTGCGAGAGGAAATTGTTTATCTCTACTGTTGTCGGTTGGTGAATGGTTGCGTCATGTTTAAGGTTATATAATGTAGAGTAATATTGTGCTAGTTCGTCAGCTATATGTTGTGGGTTGTATTTTTTCGCACCATCTGGTTGAAGGAAATATGGGATTTTTTGGTTTTGTAGTTGTTGTCTAATTCTGGATGCCAATAATTTACCAGCTTTGTTGCCTTGAGCGTATTCCCTTATCTTAAATTTCTGTTGTATGTACATCGTTTTGTTTACATGCCAGTCATTGATCAATTTTTGTGTTTGGTTTATGGTGGTTTGCAGGGTTGGGGTCGGGGAGAGAAAGTGTTGTGTGGTGGCATCTCTCAGTTGTCTTAGTATTGATAGAAGTTGAGCTTGAGAAGTTTTCATTACATATGCTGCACGGCTTATAAATATGCCTCTTATTACCGCCTTATGGGCTTATGGGCTAATGTTGTTTATGTTGCATAATAGTATTATGTACCGTCCTTGGTTGTCTGTTGTTAGTTTGAGTAATTTGAAGGTCTGCGATTTATGTATCAAAATTGATACCCCTCTAGCTTTCGATGTGTGCGTTGCGTGGTATTGTATTGGGTAATCTTTGATACCAAAGGTAGGGACTTTGATTTTGACAAAGTGCGTCTCTTGGAGACACACTACGTCAGCGAGAGCCATTTTTGCGTCTTTGAGTAGCATTCTTTGTTTATGAGGGGTGTTCATGCCCCTCACATTATGTGAGTAGAATTGTATCATTGGTATTTTCTCTAGGTTGTGCAGGGATGTAGTTTGTCTGGACTTTATCTGTGATAGACTTTATTGCTAGAATTTTTCAGTTCGCGAACGGCGAACGCGAACTACCGCTAATGTTCGCGAGCCCGGCGAACCGCCATAGACTTCAATGGGCAGGCGAATTTTAAAACCCACAGGGACTCTTACTGGTTGAAGGGGGGGAGGAGACCTACTCTCCTCCCCCCCCGGCCCCCACCCCTGGGCGGCGGGTGGGGGCCATAAAGATAATGAGGGGGGACCTACTGTCCCCCACCGGCCCCCACCCCTGAGCGGTGGGTGGGGGCCCTAACAACAATAAGGGGGAGACCTATTGTCCCCCCACGGTCCCAACCCCTGAGCGGTGGGTGGGGGCCCTAATAACAATAAGGGGGGACTTATTGTCCCCCCCCGGCCCCCACCCCTGAGCGGTGGGTGGGGGCCCTAAAATGAAAAATAAGGGGGGGACCTACTGCCCCCCCGGCCCCCACCCCTGCACGGCGGGTGGGGGCCATATTGATAATGAGGGGGGGACCTACTGCCCCCCCCGGCCCCCACCCCTGCGCGGTGGGTTGGGGCCATATTGATAATGAGGGGGGGGGACCTACTGTCCACCCCCCCTCCGGCCCCCACCCCTGGGCGGCAGGAGGGGGCGATAAAGATAATGAGGGGGGAGGACCTACTGTCCTCCCCCTCCGGCCCCCACCCCTGGGCGGCGGGTGGGGGCCATAAAGACTAATGAGGGGGGGACCTACTCTCCTCCCCCCCCGACCCCACCCCTGGGTGGCGGCCCTAATAACAATAAGGGGGGGACCTATTGTCCCCCCCCGCGGCCCTAATAACAATAGACCCTGAGCGGTGGGTGGGGGCCCTAATAACAATAAGGGGGGGACCTATTGTCCCCCCCAGCCCCACCCCTGAGCGGTGGGTGGGGGCCCTAAAATGAAAAATAAGGGGGGGACCTATTGTCCCCCCCGCCTCCCACCCTGCGCGGTGGGTGGGGGCCATATTGATAATGAGGGGGGGGACCTACTGTCCTCCCCCCCCGGCCCCCACCCCTGGGTGGTGGGTGGGGGCCATAAAGACTAATGGGGGGGACCTACTGTCCTCCCCCCCGGCCCCCACCCCTGGGCGGCGGGTGGGGGCCACAAAGATAATGAGGGGGGGACCTACTGTCCATCCCCCCCAGCCCCCACCCCTGGGCTGCAGGTGGGGGCCCTAAGTAAATTCCCCCCCCAAGGTGACTAGGGGTCCCCAAGCCCGTAGTCACCCACCCCCCCCAAATAAAAAGTCCCTACCTACCCCCCTCAACCTAAAAAATAGTGAGGGGGGAATAAAATAACTAACCTGTAAAATAAAAGTAAACTTACCATTCGACGTCTTCTTTTTTCTCAAATCTTCATTTTTCAGCCCCAAAAAAGGCCAAATAAAAAACCATCATAACCGTTGAATTTAAAATAAAATAAAAATCCCGAACGCAAAAAAAAAAAAACCTGACGAAAAAGAAAAAACCCGAGCACAAAAAAATAATCCATCTTCACCCATGGGGGGCTCCGCGCAGACTGAGCTCTGCAGGGCGGGGGAAGGCTTATAAAGCCTTGCCACGCCCTGCAGTTAGGCTAAGAACACTCTGATTGGTGGGTTTAAGCCAATCAGAGTGCTCTTTGTCATTTTACACAGTGTGGGAAAATTCAAAAGAACTTTCCCACGCTGTGTAAAATGACACAGAGCATTGTGATTGGATGGCTTGAAAGTGTTCTTAGCCTAATTGCAGGGCGTGGCAAGGCTTTATAAGCCTTCCCCCGCCCTGCAGAGCTCAGTCTGCGCAGAGCCCTCCATGGGTGAAGATGGATTATTTTTTTGCGCTCGGGTTTTTTATTTTATTTTCAATTCGACGGTTATGATGTTTTTTTCATTTGGCCTTTTTTGGGGCTGAAAAATGAAGATTTGAGAAAAAAGAAGACGTCGAATGGTAAGTTTACTTTTATTTTACAGGTTAGTTATTTTATTCCCCCCTCACTATTTTTTAGGGTGAGGGGGGTAGGTAGGGACTTTTTATTTGGGGTGGGGTGGGTGACTAGGGGCTTGGGGACCCCTAGTCACCTTGGGGGGGAATTTACTTAGGGCCCCCACCCACAGCCCAGGGGTGGGGGCCGGGGGGGAGGACAGTAGGTCCCCCCCTCATTATCTTTGTGGCCCCCACCTGCCGCCCAGGGGTGGGGGCCGGGGGGTGAGGACAGTAGGTCCCCCCCTCATTATCTTTATGGCCCCCACCCACTGCCCAGGGGTGTGGGCCGGGGGGGCAGTAGGTCCCCCCCTCATTATCAATTTGGCCCCCACCCGCCGCGCAGGGGTGGGGGCCGGGGGGGGGCAGTAGGTCCCCCCCTCATTATCAATATGGCCCCCACCCGCCACGCAGGGGTGGGGGCCGGGGGGGCAGTAGGTCCCCCCCTCATTATCAATATGGCCCCCACCCGCCGCGCAGGGGTAGGGGCCGGGGGGGCATTAGGTCCCCCCCATTATCAATATGGCCCCCACCCGCCGCTCAGGGGTGGGGGAGGGGGGGACAATAGGTCCCCCCTTATTGTTCATTTTAGGGCCCCCACCCACCGCTCAGTGGTGGGAGCCGAGGGGGTACAATAGGTCCCCCCCTATTGGTATTTTTAGGGCCCCCCACCCACCGCTCAGCCACAGGCTGCTCACTATATAATAGACATGCCCCTACTCGAGGTATTGCGAGTAGGGGCACAATTTACTAATACTAAGTAATTTTTACTTAGTATTAGTAAATTAATAGGGCACGGACCGAACATCGCATATGTTCGCCATTGGTGGCGAACGCATACACGCTATGTTCGCCAGGAACTATTCGCCAGTGAACCGTTTGGGACATCACTACATGCTAGTTCTGTACCCTTGGCATTGGTCTGCTGGGAAAGGTGGTGAATTGTGTTGGGGTGCACTGGTGTCCATGGTTGGAAAGGGAGGTTAAACTTGGATTGTGTGAAGGGTTGAGTCCGGGGGTGTATGTGGGGGAATGTGAATGGGTGGTTGCATAAAACAAAGAAAAAGAGAATAACGACGAAAACTCTAACATAACTAAAATTGACATAACTAATTGGTTTAGAGGCTTCCAATTTTGCTATCCTTCCTGGTCCGCTCTCCCGTGTTTTTATTTGGTTATTTATTGGGAATTACATCTTAGCAATCTCAGCCGACATAATGAATTCTAAAGTCATATCATGCGTGTTGGGCTGTGTGCTTTTTTTTTTTGTGTGTGTCGCTCTCACTGTTTGCTTCCTGTGGTAGGTGGTATTGCACCGGCTGGGATTTATGGGGGTGGCAAGGTGCGTGTTATGTGTTTTTGTGTCGCATTAGGCATATAGTAGTAAAATATACAAAAATACAAAAGAAAACAGGTACATTGTGTAGGTGTCTGACTTGGGAATTGCATCCCTCACCCTTAATCGATACAGGTATGTTTTAGTACTACAGTGTCTACTAAATAAGCATGTAAACAGATGCGATATGTGTAAGACTAGCTCGGGAGTTACGTCTTATCATTATTACCGATAAAGGTGTATGTTAATGCCCCATTATGCACAGGTCAGCAATTAAATAGGTGCATTGTGTGCATGTCTGATTGGGGGATTACAACATATCAATATTAACTGATGGCACTGAGGGCATATTTTGAGTTGAAGGTGCTTGGGAGAGATACTTGCAGTACCAGGAGGCAGTTTGGAGGATAGTCTATGTTATCAGCGTTTCTTTGTGACTCTGGACCAGTCCAGTCTAATTCTCTGTTGTGCACCTGTTGCCTGGTCGTCAGGTAAGTTGTCAAGGCCCCAGGATTTTAGCTTACGGAGACCATCTTCCGGGGTGAGTAACGGTATGGGTTTTCCATCTTTGTTTGCCAGGACTTTCATTGCAAAACCCCAGTGGTAGCGGATGCCGTTGTTTCTCAATATATCTGTAATCTGGGAGAAGTCTCTTCACCTGCGGAGTGTCTCTGCTGAAAGGTCGGTGAAGAGTTTCACTGTGGGGTAGCTCTCAAGCGGCTTGGCTTTATTCCTGCAAGCCTTGAGGATAATTTCCTTGATGTGGTAATAGTGGACTTTGATCAGTGTGTCTCTGGAGACCGTGTCTGGGCCGTGGTACTCGGTGCATGCGGTCTATGAGCAGCATGTCAGAAGGGATATCAGGCATGTAGGTATGGAGTAGGCCTTGGATATAGGCTGGTAGGTCTGCTGTTGTGATGTCTTCGGGTATCCCTCTAATGCGGATGTTGTTTCGTCATGCTCGGTCCTCCAAATCTGCAAGTTTTGTTTCTGTTCGGTCTAGTTTTGCCTCCAATTCTTCCACATGGTCTGCTAGGTCATTGTGTGCGGAGGTAAATTCCTCCATTTTGGATTCCGTATGTGCTGTGCGTTGGCCGAGATCTGTAACGTCTTTGTGTAGGGAGTCCATTGATGCCTGCCATGATGATATTAATTTCCTGGAAAGATCATCCAGTGCTTTGGACAGGTAAGTTGTAGTGAGGGTACTCCCTTGGTTTTGTATTTCGGCAGTGCGCTGTGGGATTTCTGATCCCTCCATGCTGTCGCCATCTTTTTCTGAGGCCTGTTGTTCCACATGGTCAGAAGTGGATTTCTACACGAAAAAATTAATTTTTTCCATTTTAGCTGAGTTCTTCTTTGTCTTATATTGAGACATTCTCTAGTTTTCGTTGTTTTTGTAGCTCTGTATGTCAGGATGGCGATGGATTAAGAGCTCTGAAGCCGGAGCTGGAGATTATGCTTCCATCTCACTCGGCTGCTAGCCACGCCCCCCGTTTTCCTTTATTTTGAGACTCATGGTACTGAGACACCCTTCTGTTTTAATGGTAATATAGGAAATGGTCATAAAAATAACTCTCCACATATATATATATGTTTTCTCTTGCAGCCCACCATCAGTGACTAGCTTAGAAAAGCATTTAATAATAAACTTGTTTGTCAAGCTTAATTTGCGGTCAGTAAGTTGTCACTACAATTTTTAATTGTACTAGAAAATAAATGTTAAGTTTTAATACAAGATGTTTTTCTCTATATTACTTATGGATTCATCCATGTAATTTGTCTTATTTGCTTTGAAGGATTGAAACATTCAGCGCGCTCCAGAATGATAAATGTGTTTCTGCAACACAAGATAACATTGACCCCAGAGATAAGTCTTTTGTTGAAGATCCTGATGCCTATGCCAAAATTCACCAAAGCAATAATTTATCATAACCTGATCTCTGCAAACCTAGTGATTTCCAGGCCGTTGGAAAAAATTGACCCCTCCAGACATGGGGATTTTGACAAAGCAGATTGATCTAAACTGGACATATGAAAGTATGAGAATGCATTAGTATGGCCTAAACCCAGCCATTGACATATATATATATATATGGAAGTCCTGCCCCATAGACAGGAGCGAGGGACACCCACGTCCTCCCTAATTGCTTGTATTAGGTTCATACATTATAGAAAAGAAAAAAAAAAAAACACACACAATGACAGATGTTCCTCCTTCAAAGAATAGTCAAGGAGAGTTTGAGTTCTAGGCCACCTACTTTGGGATCCCCTATCTCTTTTCTCCATGTTCTCTCCCTTAATACCAGCCTAGTAGAATACAACTGTACAATCAACGTTGAAGAAAGAGATAACAAATGGACAGGAACCATCTTTTGCCATGTTAGCCACCTCATGAAGGGCACTGACAACATACACCACATAATATAACATTCATTACAGAAGAAAGACAACCTTCGTATACTCTACACACAGCCGAGGCTCATATCCTCACCTCTAGACATAAGGCTAACCAACCGATTTTGTATCCACATGCCACTGTCTCCACGAAGGGTCCAGGTGGACAGGGTCCCTCCTGGAAGGTTAGATAGGAGGTTGGTTAATTATCAAAATGACTGTCTAAACTAAGAAGTAACCACTACTCTTATTAAGATGGAATGTACAACTGTGCTGTGTTTTTTTTTCCCTTGAACCTGCTCTGCTTCCTTTCTGGAACCTTACTTTTTACACACACAACAATAAAATGCAAATATGAACTAAAAAACATTCAGCACCTTAGGCAGGTCACCAGATTGGGTTTCCCTTCACCCTTATTATACCTATTACATTGGACAAGCTTGGCCAAACATCTTCATGGCATTTTGACCCTGATTAATGAGCTCTAGGTGTCATTCTCACATCACCTTTTTTTAAATTCAGCTATGTAAAGGGTAATTTCGCAAAGACACCTTATTTATTTGTCATTATTGACTTTTATACAATATGCAAGAAGAAACTATTCTTTTTTTTTTTCTTCATATAATTATATTCTAATATTATTATCCATTTGCCAGGTATCCAATCCAGATATAGTTTGCACAATTTTATCTTCCTTTGCAGGTGGCATCATCCTGATAAGCAAATGGCATAGATACCCTATTTACTGATACAAAAAAAATAGTTTAAGATATAAGGAGGAAGTAAGAGAAAAATACATACATTGCGTATATTCCATATAAATATATTTCAGTGTTTTTCAGTGTTTTTATCCAATTTGCACAGCAATACATTGCTCATGGATCCAAGATACAGCTCATTGCTCTAGCTTGGCTGTCATATATTAGATCCCTGGTGAAGACCCACCTAGCAACTGTAACTTGGAAACAATATGGTATGTATTTATTGTCTAGACTACAACTTCTACTAGCCTTATCCAGGAGAAATAATAAAGCCAATTGTAAAATGTTTTATTGCAAATATATTACTGACCATTTATCTAAAAAGCAATATATACTTATCATTTACACAAGTTCTTTTGCAACGAGTCTTAACTTCGTATCATTTGATATTATTATGTTGGCATACATGTACATACCGGTAATCCCTTCATATGGATGCCTCATATTCTCTGAGGATTTGACTAAGCAAACCTTTAGTTAATGGAGAGGTCATGTAAAGGTGCCAGTAAGGACAGACAGTTGCAAGTAAGGGATAATTGAAAGAACAATAACATTCCTTAATGTACTATAAATTATTGTATCTAAGGAGTGGTACATTTGACCTTGACAAACAAAATACTTACACATCTTGCAGTGTTCTTTTCTAAGATAATTAAGTAATTTTTCCCAACAGAGGAAAGCCCTCATTAGCCATTTTCACCTTTTCACCTTGCTTCATTAAGCTTTACTCATACAAGTCTTAGCTGAGCAGAAGAGAACATTGTAGGGGGGGGAGGGGAGTGGGGGTTGGAGCGACATTTTCCTTTTTTTAATACATTTTCTCACATTTTTTTTAAACTTAAAGCAGATTTAGGTAAAATTTCAATTTTTATTATTAATATTCTTTTTTTTTAAATATAGAAAACATGTTAAACATATCTTCCATAAAAAAAAATCTAAAAATGACTATAACATGTTTATTTCAATATATTTTTTTCCCCTCAGAAGAATCATGTGTTGTGGATCACAAAAGTCTTTATTGATCACAGGAATATGATTTACAGTATAGCTGCATGCTTCATGTTGAGATATGGGACACATCAGTGAACAATAGAAATGTCAATGCAAAGGGACAGCTGTCTTTACACATGCTATATTTAATGTGTTGCTAAATCATGAGGCATCTGTAATTAAATTTCTCCCTTATTATCTTTTATGCAGAGAACAACTTGGTCATTAGTCATTTTTCAAAATCACATTTTATTGATATGTTTTCACTAAAGTCTAATGGCATTTGAAAATGTTATTTCAAATTAAAGTGGTTATGCCATCAGAAATTCTCTCCAACATTGTATTATAGTTATAAAAAAAAAAAAAAACTGTCTTTATTCCATGGTGATCATTTTAAAAACTTGTTCAGTAGGCTTTATAAAAATGGAATAAACGTTGCCTAAATAACCTGGACTTCCTGCGGGCATTGAAGGCATTAGACATTAAGAAAAGGATGCCATTCGTACTGGAGATCGGTTATTGGGTATACATGTACACCTAGTCATCCTTCATGATAATGTGGAAAAATGACAATAAAGCCATTCTTTGAAGCTTAATAAACATTATCTATCTATTCCACATGATTCAGATCCTGGGAATGGAACATGGCTGCTAAATATAATTATTATTATTATTTTTATGTATATTTTGCCAACAAATTCCAAAGCACTGTACAATGAGTGCACTAACAAACATGCAATTGTATCCAGATATGTTGGAAATACAGGAACAGAGGGGTTGAGGGCCCTTCTCAATGAGCTTACATGCAAGAGGGAGTGAGGTAAAGTGACACAAAAGGTATGGGTAGGAGTAGAGAAGTAGATTGGTAGAATAGTATTCTCTGAAGACTTAGTGTGTTTTTTAATGACAGTTGCAGGAGAGGATTCAATTGTGAGCTATTAACAGTTGTGGAGTGGAGACTGGGTAAGCATCTAACAGACAAGGGAAGAGAGTTCCACAGGAATGGTGCAGTCCTAGAGAAGTCTTGAAGGTGAGCAGCTGAGGTGGGAGTGTAAACAGAGGATAGACGTAGGTCTAGATGGGACATACTTGTGTATTAGGGAGGATCAATAGGTTGGAGCAGCATTATGTAGAGATTTGAAAGCAAGAACGAGAATTTAAAATTGAGCCCCATATCTTACGGGAACCCAATGCAGAGATTGACAGAAGGGTGAGGTGTGGGAGGTGCAGACAGACAGGAAGATGAGCCATGCTCAAGCATTTATTATACACTCTAACAAGGAAAGTTAGGAGCACATGAGACCATAAATCCCATAAGATAAACAATAGTCCGCACAAACATGGGTAATCCTCAAATAAGTCACTGAGAAAAACGGAAATATGAAAAAAGTGCACTTTTATTAGTAAAAACATATATGTAGACTCAGGGCCGGACTGGGAGAAAAATTCGGCCCGGGCATTTTTTTAACACAGCGGCCCACTAAAAAGGGGGCGGGGCATAGGAGGTGTGTTTTGTCATCACCAATGACAAACACGCCTCCTCTCAAAGTGAGCATGTTGGTTCAATGCTCTTCCAGGGCAGACCATGCGCAGAGCTCTGCTGAAGAGCTCTAGCATGAGAAAAAAGTCCTGTATTTGTTCTGCACAGTGCAAGCAAATTTAATAACATGCTTGCACTGTCTTTCCTTGCAACTTGTCTCTGGTGTCTCTATAAATGGATACCAGGAGACAAAAGGCCAGGAAAGAGTATTGTGCATGTGTTTGGAGCCTGCTTGTGGTATTGCGTGTGTGTAGAGTGAGCTGGTCGTGGTGTGGTATTGTGTAATAAGGTCGGTTTTAGTCGTGTTGTGTTTGTGGTGTAATGTGATGCATATGTGGCTCAGGGACCCCCTCCCGCC